TGCACACCATAAAGCCTGGACATTGCTCTGATGTATTAAGCTAGAAGAGCTCTTGAACCTGTATCAAACCACTCTGCAGCTATTACCTCCACTACAACATTCGACATGTGAGTTGGACCAACATGTCATAAGGCCAAGTCAGATCTATTTATCCCTTCCCAGAAAAAGCACAGAGCTTGGCCCTTTTTTACATAATGAGTCTGATAATATCTGTCCCAAGGAGAAGGGAAAGGGCATAGAAAACATTTGTTTTTCTTAATATCCTTGCAAAGAGGTCAACCACAGAGGTAACCTTCTTTCACCTTCTTTTCAGCCAGTTATATTGATCTTTTTGACATCACTGCAAAAATATGTCTGTAGTGGATATTGCAAATAGGACTAAGCATCTTTAAGCAAAAATGTCTGCAGTAAGGCTTGAGTGATACCAGCCTGTAGGAGAGGGCCAGAAAAGCAGGGAGGGGTGTGTAAGGGGGAGGGTGGATATGGAAAAGAGGTTAGATAAGGAAAAGAGGATGGATTCTGCTGTATTCTTGTCCTCAGGATGTTGCAGAAATTCTGAACAACTGAAGAAGTCTGTGTTTGAGGGCTGTTTCCCTTTATCCCCTCTGCCCAGCTTCACAACAGCAACCATACAGATCTTTAAATATACTTTAAGCTGCTTTGATGAATGAACACAAATGTATTGGTATTTTTTGCCTTGTACATTAGTGCTTTGGTTTTGATACTAACAGCTAAGAAGCCTTTATAATTTATACTTGTTCTTTTTATTTTGCTTTCCTGCCATGATGGATATATGCTTGGAAGGTTTTGTTCACATAATCTTCACTATCATTACTCTAGTCTGTAATCTCATTATCTATTTTTATTCAGTAAATTAGAACTTTTGATAAGTTATTCAAATGCTTTTAAGTTGTAAGTTCTACCCAAGACGTTTTAGTACATTAGTCCTTTTACAAGTGTAAATGATTCCTCTGTGAAGAACCAGAAGGATGAAAGGTGTAAAATGTTACACTTACAAGAAAAGTGGAACTTACAGATATGCATGTAACGATGAAAGGATTGACAGATCTGACTTCTCTCAGCCAGATCTGTTAACTTCATCTGACACCAAAAAATCCCATCAAACCAGCACAGAAGAGAACCAATATTGACATTTGCACATAATTCATTCCTAGGGTTATGAAATGCCTACTGCATTGCTGTGATGTACAGCACCCAAAAGGTTTGTATTCCTTCAGTTTTGAAGTGTTACTTTTTAGCCAGGAGAAACCTTTACTGCTGTGTTTAGGTTTAGTTACAATTGTTTGTGCAATAAAATGACTGTCACACTGTTCTCTGAACCTCTTATAACAATCCTAGTCCTTTTCTGATGGTTTATTTATGTTTTTCCTCCAGCTTTACCTAAAAAGCTCTTTAAGTTTATGCAATGTAAGTTTCTGTTTCTCTTGTGTTTTGTTTTTGTTTTGTTTTCCTCTTTGATTTTTTTTTGTTTGGGTTTTTTGTTTGTTTGTTTGTTTTCCCTTTTCATTCATTACTGAAGAAGAAATTTGACATTTAATGGAGAAATGCACACTGATAATTGTGTGGTTTCTTGTCTGGTAAAGGATTGTTGGGAGCCTAGCTTTTCTGGGATTAATTAAAAAAAGAAAAATTGGCTGGCTTCTGTAGATCTGAAGCAAAATCCTCCTTCAGTCTGAGAAAAGCATGGTGCTGGCTTTAGAACTTTTTTGGTTGGTGTAAAGGAGTTGAGAAAGTGGAGGAGGAATGTATCTCTCTGCCATGGCAAGCAAAATTATTGCTTAAAGTGTTTCTGGATTAAAGAGTAGTCTTGAACTGAATTTGTGCCTTGGACTGTAATCTCCTATTTAACTGGTCTCATAATGTTATTTAACAGAGGACAGTTGTTCAGCAGCCTTAATCACATGTAATATTATACAATTAGCAGACTGTTCACTAAAGGCTTCAGCCTCAGCTTTTTCTTTTTTTTTCATAAAATATAAAGCAGCAACACAATTTCCATTTCCTCTCTGAGCATGAACTCACCAATTCATTACAAAGCACATACAAAGAGATGTCTAATAGCTAAGAAATATGTCTGATCTGTTACAATGATCTATCCCAGCTCTGTTAGGAGCACAATGTACAGTGCAGGACTGAGAGCAGGTTGTGGGCCTCCTGACACCCTCTGGAATGAAACTGGACAAATTTCATCTCTGTTTTCCCCACACACTTTCAGGTATTCCTGCCACCAAGACTGTAAACTCCTCAAGGCAGAGACTGCTTGTGGGTGATGTTTGTATTGTGCCTGGCTCCGACATCCTGACTTGGGCTGGCTCTTACATCACACCAAGTACAAACAGATACTGCTGGATGTTATCATGCCCCTTACAGCAGTACTGATGTGCTTTGATTTTCTGGTAGTTCAGGGGAGATGAATGGTATGACTGGGAAAACAAGCTAAACCAAAACCCAAACAATTCCTTCAGATTCCAAGGGTAAGAACTGCAGAATCTGAAGAGGGGTAGATTCGGAGCTGATTTCAAACTCTAATACAGGTCACTTTGGACCTCTTAGGAGGTGTTACCGGGAGATGAAATCAAGTACCTTTTCTCTGTCTTTTTGGAAGAGAGATATTGTAAGTTATCAATTTCAGCATCAGGAAAGAGTTTGTTATATTCTTCATTGTCTGACAGCAAGGCTCATTATTTTTTGATTGTAAAGACATAACAAAATTAAAATAGCTTATACCAATGTTGAAAAAGGTGGGCCAGGTATCCCACATTTCTCCGAAAAAAAAGGACATTTGAGGCAACTTGATTACAATTATTACCTTTTTACAGCTCTGTTGCCAAGCTAGGAACTTTTGTTACCGCTCATCATGCTGTAAGTGGAAAGTAATGTCTCGTCTTCAACCGTAAAATGGGAAGCTGGAGTAAACCTTAGCAAGGCAGGGATTTCAAAACAAGCTGTAACATCCCTTCTAGCGTCAACCGTGATGAGTTCAAAGAAAACCGCCTCTGAACTTGGCAGAACCTGAGGCAAATACCGGAGCGACCCGGCGGGGCTCTCGTGGAGAAGGGATCAAGGCAGCGGCCCGGGAGACCTCAGCGCCCGGGGCTGCTCTCCCAGCTGTCCGGCGAGAAGCCGGGAGGACCCGGGGGCTCCGCTGCCCCCCGCCCGCCCCCCGCGGGGCCGCCCAGCTCCCTTGGCCGGCTTTGTGCCTTCAGCGTGGGCGAACGGGTTTTGCGGGGCAGGAGCGCTGCGGGGCCG